TTCAAATGCAACTATGCGTAAGAAAAATTTTAAGCAAAAGATAATGTTGAGATAACGAATAAGTAACATTTTTTTTATATAATTGTCAATGATTAATTGTCATTTAATAAAACAGGAAAAATATTTTGAAAGTAGTGCAAATTTTTAAATTTGAATATAGAGAAAAAAAACTGTAACTGTTAATTAATTTAAAATAGAGTGAAAAATAATAATTCACATACCTGAAAGCTAATAAAACTACTAAATCCCATACTTTATAGTTATAATACTCAACTTTTAAAATTTCCTAGATACATATGGTCTTTGGAACATGTAATTTTTAACATTCGAATTGTAAACAAAAAACATATGATTTCAACTAAATTAAGAAAATCATGCTTTTTGTTTACAACTCGAATGTTAAAAATTAAATGCTCCAAACACCATTTGTGTCTGAGAAATTTTAAAAGTTGAGTATTATAACTATAAAGGATGGGATTCAGTCGTTTTATTAGCTTTAGTAGATTTCAGGTATGTGAATTATCATTTTTTACTCTATTTTAAATTATTAATTTCAATTAACTTAATTTCATTTTTACGAAATTAAGGAAATTTGGCTGTCTGAACATAGTATAAATAAAACTTTTATATAAAATTAAATAAAACTATTACTATAATAATTTGTTATCGGGCTAATTGGTCAAATTTGAATATAAATAAAATGACACTAATTTATTATTTATATTTAAAAATCGTTTATACTATATATAAACTATATATAAACGATTTTTAAATATAAATAATAAATTAGTGTCATTTTATTTATATTCAAATTTGACCAATTAGCCCGATAACAAATTATTATAAAAATAATTTTTGGTCACAAATAAAAGTATTTAATATTTATAAAACAATTACATTATAAAACTGTTATATCTATAATATTAGACATATATGTTTTCTTATATATATTCAAATATATTAATTCTTTTAATTATCTCAATTCTATCTTTTTTGTTTAATTTATTTTTGTATTGAAGTCTGAAATATCGATATTTAAACTATTTATTTGATGTAATGTCAGACATTTTTAAAATTTAAGTATAACTATTTTTCCATTTATCAAGCAAATTACAATGATATATCGTGTGAACAGGTATTTCATAGCTGTCACTTTACAAATTTTTGACAGCTGCTATTAAAAACAAAACTCTCGTGTGTATAGCGTGTATTACTGATATTATCATTACTAAAAATATCTATAACTGGTACCTTAGCAACCTTAACATAGAAATTCATTTTTTTATTATTATTTTTCACATTTCATTTCTGTTTTCACATTTGCTTGCACTCAACGTGCATGAGGAGTACCAGACACAGCCGGCTGTGTCTCACCGCTCACCGCTTACCGCTAAACATACAAGCCTGTGAGAAGCTCACTTCATAAACTTCACTATTTTTATATTAATTTTTATTTTTATTTTTACTTTTTTTTTCTTTAATTTCACTGTAGTAAGTTTTTTACTATAAGTACACACACAGTGGAATAGAAATTCAAAAAAAAAAAAAAAATAAAATAAAATAAAAATCAATAAAAAAATGTTGGAAAAAAAAAACACGAACATAGTGAAGGTAGTACCTACTATATTACTACTCGGAGTGCACCTAAAGCTTTAAGTACACATTACCAGCAGCTCGTAAATATCGTAGACCTTTTCTTTCATTTCTTCGAATGTTTACGTTACTTCCACATTGTCAAAAGTCATAAAGTAAAAGGAAAATACTTTAACTACGTACTTATGAGATTGAAAATATGAAAGCCGGCTAATGACTTTTACAGAAATAGAAATTTCTCTCTCCTATAGGTGTACGTATGCCTTCAAATAGAAATAAATTGTCAAGATACTTAGTTGAGCGAATATTGCCTCGGTGTTGATATAACTTATTTAAGTCGGTAATGGCGGGCTTTGCTATGAAAATACTCTATTATGAATAATTTCAATTTATTACCTTTATTACCTTAGTAATGTTTTAATAAGCGAATATGTCGGGGTACTAACTTCTATGAAGAATTTATTTATTTTTCTTTAAGATCTCTGAAGTACTTTTTTTTGGTGGGATTTTATGAGTATTCATTTTTATGCTTTCAACGCCATAAAAGTAAATAATAATAGCAATTTTTCAACATTAAATTCATATACAAGAGTAGATATATGAGCCCACGATTTATTTAGTAAGTAAACAAATCGTAAAATAAATTATATTTTTTAATAACAAAAATAACAGTCTGAAGTATGCATTTGATTTGCAATTGAGCTGTACTTGGTAAAGACTAGGTCAGGTTTTTAGAGAAAATCGTAATTTCTTGTTTTTTATGGATTCAGTCTACAATATTCCAGCAAATTGCGTCTTGCCATTTGTACATATAGGGAAAATTATGCAATGTTATTGATTGACAATGATTTATTAATAACAAAAACAGTTAACAGATTGGAAAACTTTGACTTGACTGGAGCACCAATACCCTTTATTATTACTATTATTTACATGCTCAAAAATATAAATTCAAGAAGTTAATATAAATACTAAAGATTTTCAATTATTTCTATCACGCGCTATAGCTCTTAGTTCACTCAAAGATTTGCCCGACTCTCTGTTAATTGTCCTTCTCCATATAGTTTTTGCTCGACCACTCTTTCTTCTTCCTTGCGAATTCGATACTAGAGCGTCATGATCGATTGAGCTGAAAAGTTTGCATAGAGTGTGGCACAACCAGCCATACTTTCTTTTTTACGATTTGTTATCATTATCTTTCACCCACATAATAACGAATAGCATATTCAAGGACTGCTCCTTGAAGACAGAGAGCAGTTACCCTGCTTAGAGTTAGCTGTTCTTCAATAATCCTAGGGACCTGACTTAAGCTAATATCAAAAAAGTTTTCAAAGTTTTTGCAGAAACGGAATCCAACTAGGAATAAGTTTTTATAAGAATAACTGGATGATTAGTTAATAGCGAGAATGTGAGATCAAAATTTGTGATGAGTATTTCTATTTACGAGAATATTACGATGACAACTTAGACATGTATTTAAAAAAATAGTTATGTTTATATTTATTATTAAGGTCTTAAGGTGCAATTAGTCACCTGTGTATTTGATAGAAACGAAATAAAAAAAGTGGCGAACTTTGTTCGTAACAAATACACAGGTGTGGTTGGTTGTGCGTTTCGCTTTGGCTTAAGATCCCTTAAATTCTTACAGTACATACTAACTAGCTAGCCTTTAAGTCAATGTTAGGTTGAATGTGCTTATGGATAGGCTAATTTAGTTGCTTGTACGCCACATACAACTCTATTGGACCCTAACGATACTATGTGAATCAAGCAGAAGTCTTATAGGAAATGTCAAATAGATATTATAGATAGAAGAGACAGATATAGCAGATAAACATAGAAGAGAATAATATAAAAAAATATTATATGGAAAAATGTCGCAAAGTATTGTGACTAAAGTAAGTCTTCTGTGTTATAGTTACAGTTAGTTATATGTGATTGTTTTATCGAACAAAAGACAATCAGTTCTTGAAATAAACCCAAACAGAATGTCGCACGCTAAGGGTATAGCGTATTCGTATATATATCGAACCAAAAACACTCGGTTTAGTTATAGTCAATCAAACTAAAGACAAGTCCTTCAAATGAACCACAAAACAATGTCCTACTTTAAGGGATTCGTATATTTATTCAGATCAATAACACTCGGTCTAGTTATATGTTTAACCAAAGAGAAGACAATCAGTCTTTTGAATAAAACCCAACAAAATGTTCCTCGTTAAGGGATTCGTTCGTTTTTCGGGACTAATATCATTCGGTCTAGTTACTACTTTCTACTACTAGAACAAAACCGAATTTTCATAAAAAAAAGTGTTCTTCCAGGCATAAGACGAAAATTTATTACCTAATCTGTAATTTGAAAATTCCTTGAGATGGTTTGTTGTACCAGTATTCCTTTAAAATTTTAAATGCCTGGTAACTTACGATTTTAATCAACAATAATACTTGAAAAATTGAAGCTACTGAACAAATTCAAGTATTGGTTTTATTAGTTATTAGCACGTTTGTAAACTAGTCCTATGCTGAACCGATTTTAGAATAGACTCTCCAACTTTTTAGTTAATTTTATAACGAACCGTATTATTGCACTGAATCGCTAAATCATAGCCGAAATAAGCCGGGTTCAACGCGACGTAACTATTACGAACTACATTAGAAATTTATATGGTTCACAGCCATATAACATTATATTTGTTATATTTTATTGTATTATAAAATGGATTAGAAGTTATTTTGGTTTTGTGGAAAATTGTATTTATTAAGTTTTTCTCACGGAATAAACTAAGCACTAAAATATTAAAATAAATTAAATTGCTAAAATAAAATAAAATTTAATGCTTGTTTAATGTATAATAAGTTTGAAAATTATAATTAATATTATAATAATTGTCCCGAATATAGAAAGTTTTATGTGGTAACTCTTGTAAGCGTGGGTCCCATTGGTTTATTTACCAGACTTCTATAGCCACCCCTAGTAACATTGTTCTAGGGTTTAAATATATGAACCCATGTATTACCGGATTTTTAATATTATGATAATTGTCCTGAATATAGATAGTTTTATAGAAAGTTTTATTACTCTTGTACCCTTACAAGCAGTTCTAGTAACATTGTTCTAGGGTTTAAATAAATAAACCCATGTATTATCGGATTTTTGTTTATCTCCAGGATAATATCGTATCATAATACGATATCAAAATAGGTATATCAAAAGCTGTAACCGGCACAACATAAGAAACCTAATTGGAACCAACATAAAAACTATAGGATCGTAAATTCTAATTAGAGTATCTTCCGTAGCGGCTTAGGCCACTATTCTTTTCATGGGAGTGGATCTACACCACTGTCGGTCAATGTCCTTAAAACTAAACTAAACTAAATTTTTAATAATAAAAATGTTCACTTACATTCAAAGACTTCGCCTAACAAAATTCCACGAATTTATTGCTGATGAGCAATGCCTATTTAAGTAAATAAGGCATATTTGTTGTTGTTGTTGTCATTGTTATTGGTGTTGTTGGTTGGCATCATCATATGATATCCACGCGTATTTAATTTTGGTGGTTGTGCATCACCCCACAAAATTTTGAGACACCCTTAAATGCAGAAAGAATTTGCAAAAAATTGTTGTCAAAAGGAGCGAAGGAGAACACTTCTTTTACACACGAGATTGCATTTATTTTATTTTGTAAATCAATTTCTATTTAGAATTTTATTTAAAACACTTTTGAAATGCATTTGCATGCAAGTATTTCGAGCACGAAAACATAAATAAATCACATGTAAATCAAAACTCGGCACGAGACGCTCTTCCACATCGCCTCTGTTTTGTTTTTAGCCACATAAAAACATTAATTTTTAAAGCGCATCCTTGCCTGGCATGTTGCCATCCTGCTTTGACAAGGATACTTTTGAATGTTGCTAAATGCCTGCCGTAGGGATTCTAAGTACGCAACGTAAAAAGAAATTCAAGGGAAAAAAGAATTGATACAACAAAAAAGGCAAAACCACAATAGAAGAATAAAGGAACGTCTGCACTTGAAATTTTTAATTGGCGTAAACACGAAAATAATTTAGAAATTTCTTAATTATATTGCACCGGCCGCATTGAATTTTTTGTTTGACTAATTAATTAAATTTTTTGTTTACATTAATTATTATTATATTCATTAATAAATATAATCAACCCACACAAGCACAACGAACGCGTCCGCACACATACGATCTTAAACAAATTTCACACTGAACTGCATTAACAAGCAGCGAACGCAAGAAAAATGGAATTGTCAAAAATTCAATTCCATTTGTTTCACCAACCATTCACAATAGACTTTCAGATAAGTTTTTATTGGAAAAAAGGTTGACTTCAGTCAATAAGAAATTTTCGACCAATTTTAAACAATATTTTATAATCTCATAATAGAAAATGTGTTTATATTAAGTATATGTAAATAACTAGTATTTTAAAATAAACTAAACTATATATATCATTGATGAGTGGTATATTTTTGATTAACTTATTTATAGTATAGAAACAATTATTTAATATATGAGACAAGTTTAAAAAATGTATTTATTGTTTATTGTAAATCAATAATATATTTGCTTAAAATCTACAAATTTTATTAATACATTTTATTTAATAATAGCATTACAATTATTTGATAAGAATACACGTTAATACTATACCACGTTCCCACTGCAGATTTGGTTGATTACATTGGCATAACTTGAAATAAAGTTTAAGTTAAAAGAGTTTTTATGTATTAGAAAGTTCAGTCAATTTTTTGCAGATGGCATTCAGTTTTGTATTGTTAGCAGAAATTAAATTATTCATGATGGAAAACGTGGAAATTGCAAACAATATTATATATATTTATTTATAAAAAACAAACCTTTTAAAAAATTTTTCCTTCTTATTTGTTTGTTTTTCTATTTACATTTTATTTTATGCGTCAAATATGTTTTATAAACTGCTTATTAAAGGCAATGGGAACATTACTATTACACGTTGATTTGTTAATTAACAACTTTTGTTTCATTTCACAACTTTTGTTATAGCATTTCCAATTAGATTATATTAGAGTTACATAAGAGTTCTTTTTTTCTCAGTGAAAATTTGGTTTTAACACTGTATTATCACAATTATAATAAAATATAATAATGAAGTGTAATGAAATATAATAATATAATTATATATAATGAAAATTTGTAATTACTTCATTAACAAATATATGCAGTATTTATTTATTATTTATTATTTCTTTTATAATATATTATAATACAGATACATAAATTTGACATTGAAAAACTTTATAGTGTGTAGACCATTTTTACAAAATTTAATTATATTACCGTAATCGTTTGTATTATACGTATTTTTAAATAAATATTTAAAAAATTAATTTTTTTGTAGTGTAAATTCTTTGTTGATTATATTGCCAAATGATGTCTATATCCTTACAGCCATCTTTGGCTCCGTCACTAGTGCAGAAAAACAGATTTTTTAACTTAACAAATTCTTAATTTAATAATTATAACATATTTTATAAATTTTTTTTGGAAAAAATATTTAATCATACTATATTAGTATAAAAAAGTTTAAATAATATTAAATAACTTCTAAGTTATATTGTATATTAGTATTGTATATTATTATTCAATAATTATATTGAATCATATTTTATTATGATATATATATATATAGTTTTTTTTATTTCATAGTATCGCACTTTATTATCGAAAAGGTTATCATAAAAAAATAATTTCTCCCGTTTTTCGTTTTCTTAAAAATTGTGAATTGGCACGGTTTTGAACCTTGCTAAACTCACTATATGGATGCAGTCACAATAAATTGTACTAACGCAGAATTTTAAATGGTTGTGTTATATGATGACACTTAGTTATATAGAAATTCTACATTTAATACGGTCATGAATTAGTGAAGTGAAGAATCAGAAACGGTCTTTGTATAGATAAATTTACAATAGCGTAATATTACGATCTTTATATAATATATAAGCAAAGACAATACTTGATCTTAATTAAAGGACTTTTGAGAAAATTATTAAGGCGTTTGCAATTAAATCGATAAATCTGCAATAATAGGTGCGGATTTCATAATCGTTATTGAAGTCTCTAAATTAATGTAAGAATAAATTAAATAAGTAAAAATGATGACTTAAGCATGACTTAAGTGCAACTACAGTGAAATCAGCCTTATGTGTAATTTTTCATACAAAATTCATGCAAAATTCTTATAAAAAGTTATTGATATAAAAAGCTTTTGACGTTTCTAACTGTAAGTATAAATAGATGTGTAGTAAAACTTTAGAAAAATCATAAAATGGAGCAATTTTATAATAGGTCATATGATAAATATAAATGGAATATCACAAAGCTCAAAGAGGATTTCGATATGTTGCTTATAAAATATCAATAAATAAAAAGAGAATCCGGCGAGTTTATTTTGTATCTTGATTTTGTGTCTATTATAAATAATTTAAATCTTTTAATGAATTTCATTCCTTTTTTTTTCAATTTTTGACAAGTTCTTTTTTAATTTTATGGAATAGTCAATTTTACTGACACAATAAGTTAAAATTGAATTCTTATTATGGATTATAGATCATGATGGTGTTCAAAACTAAACGTTTTCCAACTGCTTCATAGTTTTATCATTTTCTTGAAACTTGCTATATCAAATTACCCAATTGATAATAATCGGTTGACATATTAATTCAATATCAATATTAAGAGAAATATGACATCAAAATAATTATTGCAGTTTAAAATTTTATTATTTATTATTTCGAAAAAGTTTCTGATGGTTTTGGCACTTGCTTGATTATGATTTAATGCATTTAATTAAAGGAATGTATATATACTAACTTTAGAAAAACTTTTCGGTTTTAAAGGATATAGTTCCTAGCCAAATATTTATATATTCTCCAAATTTTCACCATTAATAGTACATATATTTCAAGGAATTTAGGATCATGCACGTAATGGTGCATCACCTTTTTTGTCTGACATCTTAAAAATGGATATAAACTCTAAGAACTTGTAAATAAATTTACCCTGGAATGTGCGAAATGTAGTTCTTCTGGAGAATAATGAATATGATATTAAATTTTGAGTTCCGATTCACACAGCTTTAGTATTATTTCTACATTTAATGTGTAATCGCACTTTGCTTTTATAAGAGGTTTTTGCGAAAAGCAGAAGCCACTAAAAATTTTGGTGTACTTTGACCTGATCAGATATATATACCTGATTTTTTTATTGAAACTCCTTACTCCCTTTCTAACAGTTTCATTTGAACAATAAAATATTTTTTTGATACTTAGCAAAAGAAAAATATACTTCTTGAAAACATTTGGGGATATTCAAAATCTGTTTAGACCTATCCATGTTACATAGTTTCATGTTACGAGTATTATGTCTGACAGGAATATGGATGATTTTCCTATCATTTCCATAAATTCATATTAATTCATAAAATTCTTTCAATCCCATACCATTAGTTCTTCATATTTGTTTAATGCAAGCAGCAATTCATTCAGAAGTGTAATTATCAATAATTGTAGTTTAATTCTTATCAGAAGTAATTCGTCATTAAGTGGAACACCTGCAGTTAATACTTATGGCGTGTATTGTTGAAGACTTAAGATCAAAATAAACAAAGAAAAGAGACACCTGCAGAAAATTTGAAAGAAAAAATTTAAAAGATAAAATTGAACGGTATATTCGGACTGCTATAAGTAATATGAAAAGATTTGTACTTTTATGGATCTGTTATATCCATTAAAGTATAGTATATCAAAGCTATAGCTTTGATATATTATATTTTAAAGTAATTGTATTTAGTTTTAGCATGCTTAAAGCTAATTATAATGGAAAATGTAAAAACATATCTTCATACCACTCTATTGAAAGTCTAAAGATATAGTCATAAGCTCAACTATATTTCATAGATGAAATCAGGTGAAACTCACATTAAAATCTCTCGAAATTTTCGTCTTTGTGAGCTGTAGATTCTTCAACTTGTATATTTTAATCTTAATTAGAAAAGTTTTGAGCCTTAAAAAGTTAGAATAAAAACTGAAAAGAAGATACCTAATAATGTGGGGTCATAACATTGTCGAAAGGATCTTTATTATTTGCTTCAGGAAAATTATCGAAGGATTTATGTTTATCAAAAATAGACAGGAAAATCAAGAAAGAAAATCATAAAGAGTGTTATGTTTATCGGAAAGAGATAAGGTCTTGATTATTTCCAGCAGACAAAAGCGGGCCTTCTATAGATTTTAAAAGTAATTACAAAATTTTGACCATTCCGTATGAAAAAACAACTTTCTACAAATTGCTCATTTTATCTGCTTTATTATAATATGAATAGTGAGGAATTGTATATAATAATAACTAACTTTGAGCGATCTATATAAGGTTTTCTAGAAAAATCTAATTCCATATGCGCTGTCTAGACTGACTGAAAAA